TATTTCCTCATGTAAAATCTCCTTTTCTGATTATACAACTAAAACGGAAACACAGTGTACAACCCGCGATGGAATTGTAAAGGACGGTCGATACGCGTAGTGTCGAGGAGATCTCAAACAACAAGGTGTAAAGCTGCGGGCGCCACACCGTCTGCGGCTAACGCTCGATAAACCACATTACACGCTAACGCGTCGTGCTTTCTACCTTCTCCACATTTTCTTTTTTTTTCATCTGCGCATCGAACTGTGTCAACCGTAGTTAAGGTCCTGCCGCGACGGAAACTGTGTCACAACCTCCATACTTGCTTCAATTTCTCGAGAATGAAAAAAAAAAAAAAAATTGGAGCGTATATGTTATGGAAAATGCTAGGTTGATGCTTAAGTGGTGCTCCTCGGTTAGCACGCGTTATCGCGATTCCGGCTTTAATTTCGCGACGAAGAAAAACCGAGCTTCCACGTCGCTCATTCTTATTGTACGCTTACCTCGCGGCAGTCTGAAAAAACTCCCACTTTTTCTTTTTTCTTTTACCAACGTCGAAGAAAGTGCTATGACCCCATGAGAGATTTCTAGTCTACCGTAATTGACGATATCACGGGTTCGCGTGTTTTAACCTACTCCTTGAAATATTATGGAAAATCAGGCAGGAAAATCTCGGAATTTTTTCTAAGAAAATTCTCAATTTGAAACTTGGTAGGGGTAGTTTTCTGAGATCACTTATGAAATTCATTGGAGGAAATTGAAAGAGAATGACTTTTCTGTGGCAACACAATTAAGTACACGTTAGTGCTTTCATCTGCACGTTTTGTATCGTGTATACTTCTGTCGCTTGCTCTTCAAACTGTGTCACCTGTCCTGAAAGACCTATGGCAGGGAAAACTGTGTCACAGTAGATGGTTCGTGTCGCGAGCTGATAATCTCAAAGGGAAAACTAACTAATTTTCTTCGTCATTTAATATTTGAAGCTGAAGTTATAATATATTGAATCATCCGGAATTTAATAATAACTTCAAAGTAAAATTCTACAGTGTAATTAAATTTTTGTTGAATTTTAGAAATTCCTGTAATTGTATAACGTAGATTGTTTTTCGTTAGAATGTGTAATTTTCGAAGTCAGAAAGCAAAGAATTGAAAAATGAAACAAGTATGGAATTTAATCTGCTCAGGTTAAAATTCTAAACTTCATTAAAATGATTAAAGAAAGTTGAATGTCCGACCCAGTTTCATCTAGAACGCATTTGTATAATGTTTATTCTGCTTGCAGTTACATGCAGCATAACGATAACATCGATTTCCTATAGAAATAACGTGAAGTACGTGGAAAACATCTGTGCTCAAAATATATTACAATGCCAAGAAAATTTCAAATGTGTCTACTCTTAAAAATGAAATTATTTTCTCAATTCATTAATAGTTCTTAAATTTGCAAATGGAACATACATTCAGAAATGAATGAAACACGCGTGTCTCAAAATAATGTAAAAGAACAACAAAGAACCTAGTACTGAAGTTGGCTCTAGCTCGACAATTAAAATCCAATTAGTGAGCGGAAAAACGCGGGAAGATTTTTGCGCAAAGCGTGTCACTTGAAACGATACAATTTCTTGCTGCTGGATCCGCCGGATCCCGCCATCTCTGGACGATTATCCTGCAACAGAGATCTTCCTGATGGCACGGTGGTACACCAATGACGTCAAATGCGGCAATATACGGCGTCGTTGCAGTTCGATATGGCGCATGTGCGAGTAATCGATCGATGCGCGTTGCCGTTCGAGTTTCTCGGCCGCGCACCTCACACGAGGCGCAAAGCGACCGAAAGCAGAACACGCGCGCGACCAGCCTCGTCCTGCTGTAAAAAGAACGCCGTGGCTCGGACTCGCGAGAAACTCTGACGTGGATATCGTGAAAACCGCGATGCAATCTCTCGTGTGCCCTTGAACATCATCGGGAACATTCAAAAAATCATTTGGACCCAACAGGACCAACTTAGCCCAAGGTATCCAGGCTGAAAACGAAAACTAACATCGAGGGTGGTGACACTGACGACTGGAGCGCGACAAACGTGACGGTGCGATGGAGGAAAACTGTTGATTAAACGTTCAGACTGATCAATTTCAAATGAAACTCATCATCTGAGTTTCCGATCGAAATATACGATAAAGAAACAATCAGACAGAGATCAGTGGATCAGACGCTGTAACCATGATGTAGAACACGGCACAGCGCGGAAATGGCGATGAACCGGACCTAGGATGTAAACTGCTGGGACAGTGAATCATCATCTTGGTGATCGAGCAAGAGATTCGGCACGATGCCGAAGCAAGTGCCAGTAGAGAATTTGGTGATCCCGCCGCAAGACGGTCGGATCTGCGGGACCATATGCATATGTCAAATGACGGCTGTCTTATCCTCGGTAGCTCTGGTCTACTTAACAGTGGCGATCTACATGCCAAGTACGAGAGCTTTTAAATCAGGAATCAGCGAGGTACCAGTAATGTGCACCACGATACGAGCTGTGAACGCGGACAACTGCGACTGGGGTAGCTGTGGGGAGTGGTGTCTTTCAAAGACATCCGGTCCCTGCGTCCAGATCCACGTGAATCTTCGCAGAAACGGTTCTACGATTCTACTAGCGAACTGTACCAACACTACCAACAAGACTTGTTACGGTATCGATCAGGAGAACGCGAAGAAATCGAAATGCATCGCGGACGAGTGTCGCAACCTGACTGGCACGTTCAATTGCTCGTCCGGGGTGTGCATCAACATAACCGATGCGTTCGAGTGCATCTTCCACGACACCGATCCACCAATGAAGTGTTCAGGTAGAAGAGGAAAGATCACCTGCATAGACATTGACGGTCTGTTCAATTGCAACCGTGGCACCTGTGAACGCATCAGGACACCCTACAACTGCGACCGCAGATGCGTGGACATCCCGACCAGGAACAAGAATATGATCCTGATGAGCGGTGACAAGGTGTACCTAAGTCAATGCGAACGAGCCATAGACGTGCAGACTAATCGAGAAGTCTGGCACGAGGATCGCGGTGATGTGATGATGGCGTCCTGTTACGGGATATTTAATTCCACCCTGGGCGTTGAAGCTGTAGATTGCATCAATGGCTCTGTTTTAGAGAAGGACCTACTCACTGACTTAACCAACTTCACATACCTGTCTTATTTGAATATATTTGCGACCAAACCATTGGACGAGACCAGAATGGTCGCTCCACCTGAACAGGATCTGATCATTGCTAATGAAAGTCGCCTGCTGATTAATCTCGAGGGCTGCGTCAACACCCTAAAGGACGAATGCAAGGAATTTCTTCATGAATATGGAAAAGATGGTTCTGATCATAACGCACGCGCCAGATTTCCTTGTTACTATGCAGAAGGCAACACTGATGTGGTCGTGTCTCGATTCGACTTGGAGAGCACCTATAAGGAGTTCCTGGTCGCGTTGCTGTTGCCTAGTATTCTGTTTGTGGTCAGTTGTCTGACGCTGATCTTTTGTCAGAGGACCGTGGTGGTCGGCGATGACGCCAAGATGAGATTCAAGGGCACTGCTGGATCCGCACTAGAGAAGAGCGCTTCGGGTAACGTAGGGGATGCTGGCGGAGGAAACTCTGCTATGGCTCTCTGAGATCCGTCACGTAAGGATTAATCGGCGCTCAAAATTAGAACTACAGCAGACTTACGACCTTTTCGATAAATTTTGCAAGAATTTAAAATTAAGTCCTGAATTAACTTTTTATTTGTTCAAAGTATTCTAGACAGCTTTACTCGATGAGAAATTAAAACTTTTAGAATTTAATATCTCTTGTTAATAAGTCTTCAGAAGAGAAACTTAAAATTACAGGAGTTATGAAAATAGTTAACTGAATGTAACTACTTAACAAAGAGCCAACCAAGATGCGAATAACCTCACACGATTTCCAAGTTTCTCGAAGCAATTACAGAATGCTTAAACAAAACCTTTGTTTGTTCACAGGCATTCCCCTCCTGGAGGAGAGTCCGGCTCGTCAGTCGATATTCTCCCTGCGCGGGCATTACTAAGGTGTGGGGAGGGGGGGAACGCGTGGTTAAAATTCTCATCTTGCAAAAAGCAAAAAAATACTCAAAAGCATACAACAAACACACTTCAGCCAAAAAAAAGCTAAGCATCGAGAAAAAAGAAAACGAGCAAAAAAATACAGAGAAGAAAGAGAGCAAAAACACGGTGAAGAGAAAACGTATCAAAGCAAAGATTTCTCCTAATTGCACTGCCTTGTACACACAAACACGTTCGAGAGTACACGTGCTTTTAAAAATGAAACTGTGTTAAACACACACCGACACATATACACGCACGTGAATCGATTAAACAATCACATCGAATTGTTTGTACGACATAGCTCTCGCCTGTTTCTCTCTTCTGCCGACAAAGGAGATCCTGAATTTTCGGACTCGACCATTGAAATACTTTTTTGGATAACGACGGAAAACTGGAACCAGACAATTCGGCGTCTTTCACACGTGACACGTTTCGTCGGTAGCTTTTTAAGTGTCCCCCTTTTCTGATTGATTCGCCGTGACAGTAGATAAGAAATCATCTAATTACATATAGCCTGTGCGTATCGAGACTAAGCAAACATTGTATTCATCACATTGTACACAGAAAAAAACACTTTTGAGGATCGAAGGACGTGCCTTGCTGGTATATGATCGATCAGAGACAATCGTTGCACCAATAACCACGAAAGAAATTAGAAGAAAACTATTTGACAATTTATCGCTTCGTTGCACCTGAATCTTTTGAAAGTACTTATACAATTAATCTAAAGGAAAGCTCAACATCGGCCTACGGTGACATAGGAGCAATACATCATTGATTTGTTCATTTGAAGAGTTTAAGAAAGGAGAAATTCAATTTTGGATCTGAGGAAGAGAATTCCTCTTGTCTTTGAAGACAAAGAAATTTTCAGAGTTCGAAAATAGGGTCCTCGCGACCCAAGAAACGAAGCAATCATTGATTCCGACGAGTCGACGGTGATCATGGGTGCCCAGGAAGAGGACACCAAGTCCAGCACGATGGGCGGGGTGCTTCCGGTGGTGGAAGTTGCGTCCCTAGTAGAGAAGGCAAAGTTTTATACCTCTCTTTGTCTGGGCACCACAGCCATTCTCGCTGTCTTCGCTTTTCTTTTTTTAATACCCTTCGTCGTGGAACCAGCGATTTCGACGATTTTGGCTGATTTCTCTCCACATGCCGTGGCATGCGTAGTCACTGATCACGTTTACGCCGAGGGACTGAAAAATTGCTCCTGGGCAAGCTGTAGAGAAGGTAACTAATTTCTATTCAATTTAATTAGATTGAATTTTAATTTTGAATTTAACATTGCAGGTTGTACCAGCGCGGCACTTCGTTGTCATCAAATCAGAGTCAACTACACCAGGTTAACTTATGAAGAGTTCGTGGCGAAACCATTGGGCTCCATCCCATGGGACGTTTCAGACACGAAATTCTTTGTGAACACGGAAGGCTGCGGTTATCCACCTCGAGTGAACTGTTCTGATTTTGCGAAGAAATTCGGATACTCTAACATGGGGAAGATATTCCCATGTTATTACAGCAGAACACACCCCGAGACTGTCGTTGCAAGGTATAATTATACTTCTCTAGTTTGTTCGTGATCGATGCACGAGCACGAAATGTCTCATGTCTAATGCTTATTATGGATAACACAGTTCTGACAGTTTCGGATCAATAAGCTTGTGAAAAAATATATTTTACTGTGTTAGAAACTTTCAAACTGTTATTTTCTTCATAAATTAAATTTTGACAGATTCGTGTCAGTAGGAATGTAGAACAATATATTTTTCTGGATTTTTCCAGGTACTCTTGGGACGAAAATCTAAGGCACCTAGTGTTAGCCTTGGTAGTGCCTATAGTTCTCTTTGCAGTGTCTCTAGGTGTATTGTGCTATTGGTACTGTCCACCGATGGGTAAAACTTGCGGAGGACCAGGTCGCAATCTCATCGACAAGTACTCCAGGAAGGAAGAGTAAGTAACGTGTATGTATGCAGTGCCCAGTGTGGCTAGAAGAACCTATAATATACCCAAATGAGACTTTAGAAATTGCTTCGAGGAATCATCGAAAATTTAAAATGAAAAGAATTATTAAATCAAGCAAGAGGAAAGCCTAATTTAAGAAATGAAAGTGTTGACAATTTTAATTATCTGTGAGGGATTAATTTGTTCAAGATCGTTCCTCGAAGTAATACTTCGCTATGTAGCTCGACAAAAAGATCCTGTTGTATTTTCTATCACCAGTTTTCTGTTGCATTCGTACAGCATCCTGGGAGAGGACGAGTCCGAGGAAGACGAAGAGGAATACTGACTGCTACCAAGGGCTCACCCCCCAGCGAGGGAGTGACGCCGAAGAAACTACTGAGAATTCTCAGCGTACTTTGCGTTCTAAAAATCTAAACGATCCTTCGAAAGCAATAGAAACGTGTTAGACAAAATTCCAGCAACGAAGACAAGTTCGATTCGCTCCAAATTCAGTGCGTCTGACTTATATCGAGTCTTACTACTTCCAACCAATGTTGAGCTATTTCAATTTATTGCACTTAAGCATAATGATTAAAAGAAAATTGGTAATAAGCCATTTGTTATTTTTAAATCTTGCTTGGACATTCCTTCGGTTCTTAATTAATTCTAAATTAATCAAATTTTGCCCTTATCGTCTAACAATCTATTTTATAAAATTTCTCCCGTGAAGAACTGCGATACAAATTGAAATTAAATTAAGATTGATCGAAGTACGCTTGATCAGTTCCACGGGACCGTATTTTCCAAGGCGTTAAATTAAATTAAACAGATGTCTACGATATTTTTACACATGCCACCAAACGATGATAATCTTGTGCGAATGTCGAACGTGTAATTAACTCAGCGAGATTTTCATACGAACGCAATAAAAAGAATTTTTAAACGATGGATCGTTCCGGTACGGAGATAATAAATTTTGGTGGGTTCTTCGAGCACGGAGCTCGGTCTCGATCATCTATCAGTATTCCAAGCGAGGTTCAAAAGATACGATAACAAGGTGCGCCTTCCTACAACGTGATATAAATATTTAAGGGATAAATATTTCGTTAAATGGCACGTTTTCACGCAGTTCGTATTAGGATAAGTGATGCGCTTGTGTAAGATGTATTTGTAAGTCATATTTATCCAGAAATGGGTAAGATGACGATGAAGGTGAAGAAAAATACAGAGTAATGTAAAAGGAAAAAAAAGAAATTGAAGAATCTTTGTTCGAAACAGGTTCATATGTAATTTGCTTCGATCAACGTTTCAGGATAATTGAAAGAGACACTTTTATTGTGTTTGAAATATCATTTTACCCAGATCTGCGTGTATCTGAGATGATGAAAATGAGGAACATTGAGAGAAGCTTGTACTTTACGAAAGTAACTGAGATTCATACAATAGAATACTCCAAGAAAGAAAAAGACAAGGAACAAATCAAAATCCTGTGCTGGCTCGTGTCATAAAAGAGTCTGATTTCACGCTTTTGCTTCAGCTGTCAAATATGATTATACTTTTTGTCACTTAAAATACAAATCGACAAATTTAAATTAAAGTAACTTTATAATAAAATATAGAATGACCTGATATTTTCGATTACAAAATCAAATTCGTATAACTGCAAAAAATGGATGAGAAATGACACGATTGCCTCCAGGATCTGTCTTCGCACCAAAAAGAAAAAACACGTAGATTGTAAGCTTAGCTCGTAAGTTAAGTCTGTGAATATACTCGGTTATCGTAACGAGATCGATATATAAAGATTGTTACAAATTTTTTACGCGGATGCAGCCAGTCGCGTCGTGGTTCTAGTTAGACGACGATATATTTACATAAAGGGTGCACGCATGCACGCGTCGTGCATAGTAGTTTGTAGCTGTAGATATCGGTTTTCTCAGTTCAGTTTTCGAAGGGACGAGCGATTTGCGTTCCATAAGCTACGAAACAACGTGATTCAACGAGAATATGCTTAGCGTATTAATTAGCAATAATTTTTGGACCCCAGTTTAAATATCCTTCGAAATTCAAGAATAATCAATTAAAATTTAATACTATTAATAGTGTTATTATAAAAATTAAAGTTTTAGGCCCGAAATCTTCGTATACCTCAGTTATAGTGTTCATTATCGTTAGTGTTGATTATCAAAGACATTTTATCTTAGTAAAATTGTAAAGTTTCCCATCAACGCTAGCATAAAGTAACACTACCTTGCGGATGTTCATGCACTTACAAAATCATGCTAAAAAATAAATTAAGATAATAATTAAAATCACATGAAAAAAAAAAATATTTTATAAAAATACACAGGGTGGTTTCATTAATCATGGTACAAGTAAAAAGGGGCTGGTTTCTCTTGTGAAAATGAGGAATAACATTTTTTTACATATAATTTTTGAATATCTTGAAAATTTTCCAACTTAATTTTCTCAAAAATAAAGGGGGATATAAAGAAATTTTATTCTATATTTTCAATCCTTTTCTGGTTATACCATGATTACTGAAATACTCTGTATATTTGCATAAACATCCGCAGTTTGATTATCACGAATATGACGGAATTTTCATATGGTTGTTTCGAAGCATACGGAAACTTCGTCGCGACCCCATACATCTAGAATGGTTGTGAATCCTTTACTCAGCCTTAATCTAGGCATCCGATAAATTCGCCTGATTCGGCTGTCACGAGAAGCGAATTTTAAAGGAGCCTTCATTTTGGCACTCATTCCCCACTCGAAGCTTGCTAATCGATTTCCGTTAGCGTGAATGAACGAGCGAACGATCGATTGATCGCGAGCACGCCCTTCGAAATTAGCCTGGTCGGAAACGATACGAGTGAAATCTTCTCTTGCGATTTTCTGTCACGTGAAATTTTTGCTCAACACCCTCGACTCACGTACAATCGAACAAGATAAAGAAAAAGATATAGACATTTTTCAAAAGAGGTTCGAAATATCAATTAGGTAGAGATAATTTAAAGGATTGGATAATCTTTGATCATTTTAAAAAATACCAGCATTTTGAAAATTAATTTCTGAGTGATAAAAATATTTTCTTCGGTTAAAATTTTTCAACGTTATTATTCAGAAACAAATTTTCAAAAATGCAATATTTTTATAATTAATCAAGGTGATCTAACCCTTTAAAGTAAAATGATTATTTCATTAACGATTGAATATTAAAATTATAGATGCTGAGAAATTGAGTGATATTGATATGTCTTTGATCGACTAATCAAGGAGACATCTGAATAGTCTTCGATCGAAACAATCATTACCGGAAACAGCTGGACGTGAATTGTACTCGGACGTCATCGTGCTTGATCAAACGTGTTCGCGAGCATCGAGGATTGTTCTAAATCCGATAGTCCATCAGTAGTGCTCGTATGTCTGCAAGCACTTCCATATCTCTCATATCAGATCGGTTTAGTGCCAATTCGTTAGTCGATTAGAGCGATCATCGAGTTAATGATTATTTAGAATCATCGGTCGCGGGAAAAGACGCCGATGCTATTTAGATAGATCCTATGAAAATTCTAGGAAATCAAAATACGTATTTAACGTGATGATCGAACAAGTCGTTTCAATTATGAAAATATTAGAATGATTAAAGAAATGATTGAAAAAAAAAAAAAAAAATTGATTGACAATGAGAAAACGAAAAGAGATTAGAAAGCGACGATAAAAGTATAAAAGTCTATTTCTATCGATAATTATTGTATAATACGCTCTATCGCATGTTATTTAATTATTCTAACGTACCTGCACTTACTACAATATAATTAAGCCGCTGTTATCAATTCTCTTCCCATTTTATTTTCCAAATTTCTTCGCCTTCTTTTTCCCCTCCCTTTCTCGATAAAATTCTTCGAATATTTTTATTCCATCCCTCTAACTTCTTTTCATTCTATGCCCTATATTTCGAGAACGCTTCCCGGTTCTTTGCTCGAAAATTTTTAACATCACCCTATTTGTCCACCGCTTCGCGCGTACCATTATTGAATCTTGGATATTGTACATAAATATTATTATACATAACGTACTCGTTCTGCGATACTAACGGACTATTGTAAATAAAAGATTGTACGATTTCGTTTGAAATATACAGAAACAGGTTTTCTGTTAAACCAACTGTTTTATTTATTTCATCCTCCACCCTTTCCAAGTAGATAAAACGAAAAATATTGGATGTATTGTAATGGAACATACAATTTTTCTAAAAATATTAAAATGAACGATGTGTGATGTCCATTGATACATTTTATTTAAAAGTACGAGTTCAAGAAATGTTTCAACGAAATATCTAGAAACGTACTAGAAACACGAGTGTCGAATATTTATTTCGTGAAGGCGTACTATGTAACTATAGCAATCATCTAAAAAGCTTTCAAGCTTCAGTATGTACTCTACGGTCGATCTCTCTCAAGCTTTCGAAAATATTACGTCACTGTAACCCAATCTCTATTGGCCCTCTCTTAGAGTAGTTTTATATGAAAAAAGAAATTGAATACGATAGTTCTTGAAATGTTGTATTAACATTAGAGCCAGCATTGGACGTCTATCTAGTAAAGAACAATTCAACTTTATGTTACGAAATAAACAATTTCATTTCCTTTATTTTCTTCTTCAATCTGTCTGCATTCTACGTAATTTAATTTGTGTTTGTTACGTGAATTTTACAGAAACAAGAATAACTACGGCTGCATCCAAGATTAAATCTCTAAAAATAGTTCATTCTCATAAAAGAAATTGCATTTAATTTTACGCTCTGTTTCGTATTTAATTTCGAAGTTTTAGACTATTTCTTTAGACATAAATCTTCCAAGTTTATCGTATAAAACTATAAGTACCCAATTATAGTCGAAGCTCCATTGTAAGCCTATCGTAAGTCTGGGATCACAATTGACCCGGCGCCTCCATTCAAATGTTAAGAACCGTATGAATCGCATTATTGCTCTTTCAACCCTCTCATTAATCATAATACTTCCGCCAAATACAATTTCAAAATCTTCCATGAAAATTCTCAAATGCTTAGTTCACGCTTATTGGATACGTAAGTAACGTAAAAAAAGCCTAGGTCAGCAACGAGCCCCTAGTTGACTGTAATTAATCAGCTTTTTCATGCGAAGTCGTATTGGCGAGGGTGAACCTCGAGGGCAGACACAGTCGTAGGCGGATTCGAGGCTTATTCGGAAGGTTCGAGCGTTTCAAGCGATCGGCTCGTGGCAGCTCCCCATAAAAGCTTGGTGTTCAGAGCGCAAGCCCGGCATGGGGGAGCTTGCGAGCCATACAACACTCGACTGCCAGCCTTGTTTTCAAACAGTCGTCCGGATTGCGTGGGTGATTCGCGCTCGTCACACGTCGTTCAAACTCTGGGGAGCAATTTTACTTCTCTCCTCGACGATGTCAACGCACCACGGATAGCAATGACATCGAGAAAACATGGATGGAAATGAAAGCGTCAACGATCAGATCAATTATTGACCGGTTATATTATGTTTCAAAAAGATCGTGCTACGAAAAAATCACGTTCATCCGTAAAAAGATTGAACGAACTTAAATGGTGAATCTTTCGTGAACGATGTTCGATAAAGTTATCTTGGAAGCAGAACAATTAATTCAATTGAAGTTGGAGGATTTATATTGATAGTGATCGATGATATCGCGAGTAATCGAACGTTCTTTGAAAGTTCTTTTAATGTAATTTAAAGTGGACTGAGAGTGGAATTTCATCGATTTCTTAAAGTAAGAAAAGAGTGATATTTTGTTGGCTGACCGTCCTTGATCAAAGATACCAGTGACATTTAGTGGAACTTGCGATAGTCTTGAAGGTAAAGGATGTCGATCGTGGCGCGAATACTTTTCACGGTAAGTGTTTGTATAGCGTAGTTTAAGAATTTTTTAAAGTTATTAATTTAGAAGGAAACCTGTTACTATGCTCTGAAATTTATGAAAAATCAAAGATCTATGGAATAAAAATTTGTCCTTAAAACGTCTTTAAAATTTCCTGCAAGTTTTTTGAACTAAATTTCATAAAATTAGAAATCGAAAACTTGAAAGAGACTTTGAGAAACTTGAAATATTTTATTGTCAAAAGTATTAAAAGCACGTTCGATGATCCTACGAGTATCCTACCTCTATATTCATAAAGGAACTTGATTCACCTCGGGTGAAACTTTCCTTTCAACGAAACGAACCAGTCCATAGAATGCCTCCAGGGAAACATTGTTGCGTTAGATAGTCGACGGTGCACTACAATTATTGTACACTAAAATAGACTAGTTCTTTCCTCGAGAATTCCCTTTGATGTCGGCTTAAAGACCATTAGATCGTCTTCGACGTGAGAAGTTTCAAGAAACCCGCTAACTGTCGCGTTTACCAGAGGCTGAAAGTTTCCCTGAATCGATAGGTATTATTTTCGAATGGCTGTTAAGCGATCGTCCCTTGCCTTGTAATGGGATTACGAGTATCTAATTGCACATCATCCGGCGGAGCGCACCTGTTTACACTGGCGCTGCACCTAATGAAGTTAAAACCCGGTAATTGCCTCAAGTGCATTAACGTTGATACGCGAATAGCGTGGAGAAAAAAAAAGACGTTCGAAAGGAACTAAAAGCGTCGACGTGCGATAAACGAGGCAGAGTAATCAATAACTGATAACGATCTATTAAGTGTATGCAAAGATACTAACTACTTTTCTTAATTCTCATTAAGGACATCGGATATGATCGAAGATGTGACAGTATAAAACTACCGGCATTTGAAAATGAAAATTATATTTTATCAAATATAAAATATTTTGACAATTGTACAATTTGACTTTTGTACAATTGATACCCTTTTATGGTCTACTCTTCAAAATACTTTGACTATCTGATTACCATTTACTACTACACTTATTGCATAAATTTTTCACTTGACATTTGCATCATAAAAGGGTGGAACTTCAACACAATACATAATGAAAGTTGGACTATGAGTGATGATTCTGGACTTTCGATCAAACAGCCTTGTTTCACTCGTGACATTTAAACGATGCCATAATATCCTTTCGATTCTGAGAAAATGAATCGATTTCATGACTTCTTGGACATCAAGGACTCGAGATTCATAGGAATTATGAGTCAAGATCCTTCTGAAAAGTCATTAGACCATCACGATGTAATTTCTCAGTGAGAAGGGTACTCGCTTTTAACCCCTTGCCACATAGTGTGCTATAGAATGTTCCACACAACTGAATCTACTTATAGCTCTTAAACGGTGGAAGACAGGAAAAAATTTCATTAAGAAAAATTAAATGGTGTTGAATGGAACATCACTTGAAGTATGTGTTAGCTAGGGAAGTGAAAAGGTGGTTTAATACTGCCGATATTCAATGCACCCTTCTACCCTTTTTACACTTAATTCTTTTTTCAGTAAAGAAGGCCATATGATAAGTGGTTAACGAAGTCACTTAATCGATCAAAAGTGCCTAATACTTGTTTCTATGTCGTTAGTCACTCGACACCCTCGACTCTTCATTTCGCTGCTCGGTTTTAATCGACTTTATTAGACATGTTAGAACGATTGGATTTCGATCGCGTGTCATTCTTCGATGCTTATGTAAAATCAGTCACCTTGCATAACTGGAAAATCAATGCTCCACCTGACCTTTTATAGTCCAGATGATATCACTTAATCAAGGGTAGAAGTGTGCTTTTTTTTTTATTTCAAGAAACGAACCTTGAAACGTCAAAAAGAAAAGACATCACCTCACTGAGGAATATTTTCGAGGAGAAACAGACGATTCTAAGGGTGTATAGACTGTGAAATTTTTATAGTTCGAAAACAGTCAAATCGATGAAACGCGACGACAACAAGTGTCGTTGGCAACAAGAATATTATGACCAAGACACCTGTTGTGAAGTTCACTCTAGTTTGCAAAATTGAGACGTGGCAATTTCCTTGGAAAATAATTTATACCCAAAAGGATCGTAAAATAAATTTCATCATTAGAAAATCTTTCCTAGTCTACGTCAAAAACTATTTTGGGATAAAATTTCATCGTTCTATTGACCGCTAAAAATTAAATATCGTCACTGATAGATAATAAAAATTTCATGATTATATCATAAATTAAGATTTCCTCAAATAAATCATATTAAATCGATCTTCTTCAGAAAGAGCATTAAGAAGAAAACTTATTTTCAGAGATTCGATACAACTTTGATGGAAAACACGTTACTGGATCGTGTTTGAGGGAAGTGGAACCATGAATACAGTCTGCTTCGTTGAACTGTAATAAAATATGCTCGGATGACAAATAGAGTTTCTTCCTGGCGAGATAGAACGATACGAAGCGAGTGACCTGAGAGAAATCGTCGTGTCTGAAAGGAATCCCAGCTTGATGAGAAACGATTTAGATTAATCCGTTCAGAAATTACTATCCAGCAGCCAGGTTTCAGCGGGGGGAAAAGAAGGGCAACGGATCCGATTAAATACTCGCGATGGGACGGAAGCACAAGCGTCGCCTGATACCGGAACAGGATCGCAGGATATGCGGCAGTATCTGCTTCTGTCAATTCACCATTGTCATCAGCTGTGTCGCGTTGGTTTATCTGAGCGTGGCAATCTACATGCCGTCCCACAGGTAAACGACAAGGCTG